GATCATTTTCCATTTCCTTCGGTAGGTAACTGCCTCACACGTGAAACGGTTTTGCTTTACTGATTATGGCTTTTCAATAGAACCAATTGAACATCCTCTCGATTTTATTCATTTGTGAGCCAATGATAATTTTCAGTATGGATTTGTGGAGATTTCTGAGTTTCATTGAACTCGTGAATCGATCAATGTTAGACTAGCATTGGAAACCTGGAAGCTTCCCATACTGAAAATTGCTTTAATGTTCTATACTACTCATAAGTAATCGCTGTTTATTGGATATTTTCTCTTAACTCTTGATGTAATCTTAAACCTTTTCCCTGAAAATTAGTTTGTTTGACTACTTCACACTTGATCAAATCAAACTGGTTATATTCCTCGGGTGTCTGTGCTTTATATCAAGTGTTTTCTATTGGTTTCTTTGTCTTGGATGTCAGTTCACAATTTATTCTTACGTTTGTTAAATGTGAAACGGCATATACACAACAGTAAATGACAATGAGTTTAAATTTATTCAAACTCCAGTGTGTATATTTGTATGGCAAAAATATCGAATTGTTATCTACATAGTCAGTTAACGTTGATGGATAAATATATTTTAACTGAAGTTTCTACCTTATAAACACAAGTAAACTGTTTAAGATAAATCTATTTTCAAACTGAATCAGAACTGAAAACGATCAACCTATATCAAGCAAGTATGAGTTAAATCTCAGTTACATAATAGCTAAAATCCAAACCTTTCCTACCTCTTGTTTATATTTAATGAGACTAAGATGAATTTAATACATTCAGTAACTTAAATAAAAATATGAATGCAGACAACGTACATTTATGTTTAATGATAGAAAGTCAAGTCATTTTACAAACAATATTGTATTATCAGTATAGGGTTGTGGAGATTGTTGAGTTTAGATTGATCAGTGTTAGACCAGCACTGAAAGGCCGTTTTGTCCTAGTACGGAACTCCTCAGCAGTGTGCATCCACAACCCCTCACATGGGACGCAACTTAGGACCTTCGGTCTCGCGCGTGAGCGCTTAACCCCGAGACCACTGAGCCTGCATCTAACAATTTTAATGTCTAACTTCAATCAATCCACGATATTGCACGAACATCCACCATTGTCTTCAGTGAGTAATTGCTTCACAGCTGACACTGTTGTACTGTATTAGATGCTCCTCCTATTTTAGCTGAATTCATTCAGAGGTAGTTATTTCAAACATGAAGTGAACATTTATAGACTCCTTAATTTTATTATCATAAATAAGCGGAAACTACGACCTGTTTAAACTGAGAACAAATAGATGACACAGAGTAGGTGTTACGTCCTAGTGCCCGTTAAATATCCCGTGACAAAAGTTGCTAATCACAATACCGAATTTTATGATCTTCAATAACTGTATGGTAGACCAACTAAGTGATTTGTTGTATAACATTGATATGACGGGATGATAAGGTAAATTACATCTTTAACTCATTGTGACGTTTAGTTCAACACCACTTCTGTGTTTTACTAAACATGATGATTTCTTAGTGTAATATTTGTTTTATTTTCAGTATGATATTTATTCAAGATAAGATATTTATCTTTATTAAATTAACGTGAACTATATACATCATGATATGAAGCGGGCGAATTTGTTGTAATTTCATGTAAGTTTCTTTTACTTAATTAATAATCAAATGGGTGTATAAATCGATATATAAATGAGCATATTTTCGACTAGGGTTATAATCGAGTTTTCTTGATGATTAAGTCTCCAATTGTACCCAGTCTTTTATGTTCTTACATAGCGTCGTGGGGACTGTTGGGGTTCCTCGTTTTCGATTACAAGTAATAAGCGACAAGGATATGACAAACATTTAACCATTTTAAGTGCAACTTAAATAAATATTTGATGGTAAATTATCTTATTCAATGAGCAAGTTTATTATTTTGTAAATAATAATTTTTCTGCTTGTTATTAGTTATTAAAAGACCATCGGTAGCGAATTCACAAACTAAGTCTGATGTATATATTAACAAGCTATATTTATAATCATTAAAGAAATCAATGCTCTCTGAAAGATCCCAGCGTTCTTATCTTCTTAGTGTCACGTTGCTGCTACTACCACCACTACTACTAAATTGTTTGAGTAGCAGCTGATCTTCTGTGATGAAAATTAAGATGTTACCAAACTACATAGAAGTATTAACCAATCTCACATAGGTTTATCATTGGTGGTGATCTGATTCTATCATTCAATTTGATTTGTAATAACACAAAGTAAAGATTAATTATTCAGTTAGCAGATATTACATCAACTCCGCCTGTAGCTCTTCTAAAATTTAAATTATTTCCATGTGCTAAATCACTAACTGATCTTATTGAGGCCACCACTGAGATTCTGGAAGTACTGGACAACAGTTTCGTTCTAGTATGGGACTACTTAGTAGTGTGCATCCACGAGCTCGCCACAGGGAATCAAACTCAGGACCTTCTGTCTCGCACGTGGACTTTTAGATTTTAGACCACGAAGCTGGTATACAACTTTGAGAATTTCTAAATTCGGTCGATCCACGATACCTTGCAGTAGTGGCTAGCAACGAAGAAACTGGTCGGGAAATATAGTAAGCCAGAGAGACCGGTCAAGGGCAAGGAAGGCAAGCACATCGCTGAAATTCAAGGACAGAGGAACAGATGGGTAGAATACTTCGAGGAACTCCTGAATAGACCAGCTCTATTGAATCCACATGATATCGAAGCAGCACACACAGACCTTCCTATAAATGTCACTCCATCAACGAAAAAACCAGGATGGCCATCAAACAAATCAGGAGCTGGAAAGTAACTGGATCTGACAATATCCCAGTTGAAACACTGAAGTTAGACATAGACGTGACTGAAAGTATGCTACACGTTTTATTCAGGAAGATTTGGGAGGAAGATCAGGTGCCTATGGACCGGAAAGGAGGACACCTCATCAAGAAAGCAAAGAAAGGAAATTTGGACAAAGGAGTTATCAAAAGGGGTTGCACCCAATGACCCTAGGTCTCTAGCGTGAACATTTGATCTCTAGGCCACTGAGTCGAGATCCGATGGTGTACATGTATAAACTTACTGGATTTGCTCGACTAACTTTCACTGGTTGTGATAGATAATCGCCTCATACCAGACATGGTTGGGCTCCATTAGTCACAGTTTCATACTATAACTCCCTGAGTTAGATCCTATACCAGAACGAAACACCTGTTCAATACTTCCTGGTTTTCAATAGTGCTCTAACTAAAGGTCAGTTCGTGGTTTAATACATGAAAATTGAACAATATCCATTTATTTTACAAAATATTTTGATTTTTCTTCAAATCTAATCATCATCTCAACACTCTGATACAAGATATACGATGAGTATTCACTTTTAGTTCTATTATAATAAATAATACAACACAGACGACACCAACCCAATCACACTTGCTGAAGAAGCTCTGGAAAAGGTGGAAACTTTCAAGTACCTACCTCGGCAACATCATCGATGAACAGAGAGGATGTGATGCAGGCGTTAGGACAAGGATTGGCAAAGCAAGGACAGCATTCTTAGTTGAAGAACATATGAAAATAAAAAACTGTCATCCAACATTAAAGTCGGTATCTTCAATACGAACTTCAGGACAGTTCTACTGTACAGAGCTGAAACTTCGAGAACTACTACAAGCATCGTCAAAGAGGTACAGGTATCTATAAACAATCATCAACTCAGGATACTCCAGATCTGCTGGCCGGGTACCACCAGCAACAACCTACTATGGCAGAGAACAAATCAGCTTCCAGATCGAAAGGAAATTATGAAAACACGCTGGAGTTAGACAGAGTATACATCAAACTGCATCATCAGGCATGTGTTAACTTAGAATACTGAAGGGGAACGGAAAAGAGGAAGACAAGAGAGCACATTGCGTCGACAATCGGAAGCAAACGTGAAAAAGATGAATAGTAACTGGAAAAGACTGCTCAGGACAGAGTTTGATGGAAAATGCTGGTGGACGGTCTATGCTCCTTCACGAGGTGTAACAGGCGTAAGTAAGATATTACAGCAAATTGAATGAATACAAAAAGCCCATAAAAATCAATAGAAAAATATCTTCATTTAATTATTTCTGGAAATAATTTCACAGTTATGCAGAAGCGTACATTCATAAAAACACGAACAATAATAATAACAATTTGTAATCATAATAGCCTGTATAAGCTCTATTTTCAATGAGAAAATTAAGAAAACTCTGAAGAACATAGAAACGGAAAGAAAAGAAGAAAATTATCTGAGAATCTTCGCTTCATAGTCATTTTGGTTTCTTTTTAAACAAAATACAGAACACATACGGAATAATAAAAAAAGAGCAAGGGGAGGCAGCGGTGGAGGCGACCAAATAAACACAGAAATAATAATCTTGATTACATTTACATGTCATATCATCTCAAGTGTATCTTTAAAAAAAAATAGTACATTGAATAGCCAACTAACTAGGTAACTATCTAAGCTTACATCACATATCTGTATTATAATGAATTGTCCAGAAAACAAAATCACATTCTATAAAATAAAAAAATTACTAACTACTATTCGCTAGTTTTATTCAGTAGTGTATAACTTACAAATAAATATTGTAATATTTTGTCTCTTTTTCTTGGTTGTTTATTTAAAGATATAACCAAAAGTAGAAATCTGATATTACAAATAAGCACATCTGTCATATAAATATCAGAAAGGGTAAATACTAACGTTGAGAAACGTTGATATATATATATATATATAAGTGAAAACAACAAAGATTGATTATCCTATCGATTAGTGATGATTAGATGTTCGGAGAGTAGAAGCAGCAGTAACGGTAATCAGAATGATTGATTATTACTGTTTATGCGGGAATTGAACAGAATTTTAATTTGATGAAGATATATATAGGGAGGAAATAAGTAGCATATATGTATATGTAGTGCACATCTTGTGAAGTTGGATTCATCTCTAAATATCGGATGACTATAACAAAAAAGTCATTATATAGTAATATTACATTTCAAAATAAGATAAGCATTTATGAAAACTTCCTCATAATGATATGTGAAATATTATTATTATATAGAGAAAATCTAAATTGGTTAGGGATTATCAAACCAAGCAAATCAAATGTAGTTGATTCTAATTTCAATGATTTTTATTATGGATAGACATCAGATGTGATATCATAGGAAGCTGAACAAAAAAATAACTGGATAGCTCTACTTTGCCTCAGTTTTTAAATTCAAAATAATGTGTATTAAAAATTCTATCGAGGATTCGAACTGAGGATTATGAGTGAGCATTCAGTTAAACTATAAATTGATTGAATTTAGAAGTATGCATCATTTGAATTTTAACTACATGGTCTCAAGCATTTACAGAGAAGTTTAGAAGTCTTTTATGCTCATTGGTTAAAAATCCTATGCAAAGACAAAACAGTAGTCAAATGCTTCACAGTTTTGAATGGTATCTTGACTGAGACCACTACTACGTTATGAATGTCACTTTTAAATGAAACTAAAGTAGTTCATTTTATTGATAATTTATAGTTGATACACTGCTGTTGAATACACGTTGCTTGTGGATTAGACCTCAAGGTCAAAGGCTCAGGGTGTGGTCCCCTAAGAAAACCACCTGCTTCGGTTCGGGCACCCGGGCAGTATCACAGCTCTCACACAAATCAATGATAACTACCATTGACCTCATTGTTATTGCGTGGCGCATACGTATTTGGCTCCCCCTTGTACCCATGTTCATATGTTCAAATAAATAAATAAAACACGCAAAATATGATTTTTAGAGGTCAAACAATTTAAATATTTGTTTTAATAATCTATGCAACAGATATCTAAACAGAATGATACAAACTGGATTTAATTAATAAATGTGGTTTCATACTAGTAACAATAAAATTTAAGTAGTATAAGCGATATCAACGTTCATGTTTGGCGTAAAATACTGCGTAAATGTAACACAGATAAGTTATTAGAGTGATTGATATTTATCGGTTTAGATTATTATATTATGTATTTCGAATCTTAGGTTACTATTTTCCTTGACACGATTTAAAGGTTAGTATAAGTATGAATTGCAAAAATCTGGGAGTGGCCAGTTCATGAAATCACTGACTTTTTGTTTGAACAGCATTGCAAGGTGGAGATTTATGGGTGCAAGGGTTCATGAGTAGTGACCAATGTCACGTTCGCATAATCCTTAGTACTAATGGGATTCAATCAGTCAAACTGCAATGTGGACACTAGTTCGTCTGATGTAACATTGTGTGCACTATGTTTTACTGCTAGGTTGTTAGAGATAGTCAACGGGAGACCCTGCTCGACAAATGTTTTGTGGTGGTTGACTCTTGTCAAGTATCCATACCTATAAACGTGAAGGAACAGATGCTCCTTTAGGGATTCAAGTATACATCATGCAGCATCATAGTTTGAGATATTAACAATGAGCTATTCGGTTTGTAACTATCCTCCACGACTGACATTTTTATAATAACTTATCAGTATGACGGTTATTCAAAAGTTTTCCATCTTTTTTACATCGCTCATCATTATTTAGTGCAATTTACAATTATTTTAACAAAATGATAATAGTTTAAATTTTTTTACATCAATGACCTAATTAAACTGACATTTATTGAATACCAAGCGGCACTGGACAGCTTGTTTCATCCTAGTATAACACTCTTCAGCGATGTGCATACATGCCCCCATTCAACCATAAAGTATCGGACCAACGATCAATAAGTATACTACTTCCAAATTAAATTACAGTAGTTTTTTTATTATTTCAAAGATCGATAAATTCTACTTTCTATTAATGAGAGATTCGTACAGAATTCGATTCAGAAGAATTACCGGAAGCGTTTGAATAGGATTATTATTATTATTGTTATTATTACCAAAAATTCATATGACTATTACCTTAAATACATTGATTTATTTTATGATGTAAAGTTTATCGAATTCACATAGCGAACTTAAAGTAATTATTTGTTTATCTTTATATATGTATATAAGTAGTATGTACTATAATTACAGTAATACTCTTGAACATACACTCAAAACTACATACGAAACAATAATTTATTTAGATCTTTTTTTGAACAGATTTAGAAGAGAAAGAGGTTGAATCAAGAGAAATTTAGTAACACGAATATATTAATCGTGCACAGGTTAATCAAACCAGTACACTGACAAAGAATAAAACAAAGTACGTTTTATTTTCAATGCAACATTAAGTTTTTTTTCTTAATAGTGTCACATGTTTTTAGGTCGAGTGTTTTCTTTCTCTTAGATATTGAGAAAATGAAATACTTAACCATCATTGTAGAACGTATTGTTTTCTTTGAATAAAATAATGCTGAACACGTAAACTATTGTATGCCGGTTCAGTAGTCTAAAGAAGCTAAGCTTTTTCTTCAAGACTCGTTCTCTGGTGTGGTCATGGACGTGGATCATTGATGAGTCCAACATAAGGAAGGAACAGATGTCCATTACCTCCTAGCTTTCAACAGAGACTTAACTAAAATGAGCTAGTTATGATCACTTTAAAATTAAACAATCTTTACAAATTCTTATACTGCAAAATAACGACAAGAAATTGACGTTTCGTTTCCACTAAAGATAAACTCATTCTCAGTTCTGAAGATAATAATAACAATGCCGAGGAACAAAGTTAAGGAGTGAATAGCTGTCTAACAATAATGTATTTCGAATTATAAGATTAAATGATCCGAGTTAAAATCTTAAGGGTATCAGTGATATGATGATAAGCAAGTATTAAGCCTAACAGTCAGATATCTTAATCAATTGACGAATGAGTGACCGATATCCATCTAAAAGGGTGACTATCAAAAAGACGACCACCAAAAAGTCGCATATTAATGAAGGTGAACTTCGAAATGGGGAATAACATTTTTAATGATGCGCAATTTGTTCGATTCCCTATCTGTCCCTATACCCCAAGACAATTCAAAAAAGTTGTTTTCTAAACGTCTACTGAAGAATCTACTATTAATAAATACTGAGACGTTTCAAATTCGACAACAAATTATTTCTTTTATTACCCTAGTCATGTTATCTTGTACATCTATTTCGAATAGTTAGGGGATAGTCCATCTAGAGGAATGCTTTGAAAATGTTTCAGTAATATTTGGTGAATTTCTCTTTTTGAATAAGTTTTAAAAGCTAAAAACACATCTTTGTTTTAAAACTAAAAATGAATGTACTATTCCATGTAGATAGTCTAATGTCGATCTGTTCTCGTCATCTTCTATGACCAGTTTGATATATACTACTAACTCTTTATAATTTCTTTTTAAGTGCTATTGCTAGATTCCTCCAAAAAACTGTTTGATTTTCAATCGATTCAAACTTTTTCTCAGAGAATCGATAAATTCCCATCTGGTTTTGATAAGCTGCACCAGTAAGTTAGCTAAAGCTTTTGAGAAAACAATATACCTAATTATTTATGAGACTAACTAGCCATAATCGGAATAGCCCAGTGGTAATGGTGAAAATTATGAAGTTAGATGACTTAGGTTCGAATCCTGTGGAAAGTATCAACTCCCTCAAGACTACAGGTACACCATACTGACAAGAGCCAACTAGCACAGGAATATGGCTAAATAGGGTTCGGTGTCGATTACCTCCAAAAATATTTAGCATCTTAACACGGTGTCAATGTCAGCACATTCAGACCAGTGTTCACATTGAAACTAAATTGATTGAAGTTTATCAGTACTAAAAGATTAGACACATATGGTCATTGGTTTGTTCTCAGTGATAAAACCAATTGTAGACAATATATCTTATTTATGGGACTAACGAAAAGAGAGGTGTTTTAAGAAAGTTTGAAAGAAAAAAGAAAACATTGAACTATTACTTCTACTTACTGTAATATGTTTTATCTGACTATATCTGGTCTCGATACCTGAAAGAAAGCATCAATATTCAAGTGATTCGAAGACAGATATTAGATTTAGTGATATGGTGAGTAATAACTTAATGAATCGGAATGCGAATGACATATGAAATTAGCTTTTTCTCCAATTATGTGTAACATTTATTCATCAAATCTTAAGAAGGATTACAGATGCTTAGTTGCATAGCATGGGAAATATGTGCTCATATAGTAAGTGGTTGAATTATTACTGTTAGACACAACTCAGTTCAAATTATACAAATCTGACTGTTAACCTAACTATAAGATATATGAAATGTGATGTATTCATATATCCTTAACACTGGTTTTCGCGTCTATTTTCTTGTGTTCAGGTTTCCGTGTAGGTTTAGTCTGAGGTCAATAGAAGCGGCTAAGAATTCGGATCGAGCGTTTATTTAGTAGAGTAAAATTCTAATAAATAAACGTTGAGATTACTCTACGCAATGACTACACGAAGTGTATATATTATGATTTGTTAATAGGCGGTAATTTTTGAGTATGTAGTAAATCTAATGACTTCCTCGATTAAATTCATCATCATTGTCATGTTCAATACAGTTAAGAACGACGTAACGCTTGCCACACATCGAATATCAGATGACTCCAGTATATAAATAATCAAGAAGTCTCTGAGATGTAAAATCAATAAATGATAAAATCTTTCCTGAAAGAGCAATGATTTAGTGGCTAAGATAATCAAGTTCCGGCCACGAAGTCCCGATCGGTTTAATTCAGTTTGGTCAATTGGGTAGTATCATTAGAATGTGCCTAATAACCAAATACATACTGAATGAACTACTTAAAATGAAATCGATAGTTAAGGTATAACTCATAATGATCAACATTATAGATACAGGACGTCTATACTGATTATTACAACTTACTTCATCTTGACGAATAATTGGAATTTGTGGTGATTCTGAGGGATAAGGTGACCAATCATATGAGGAATTGTAATGAAAAGCATTTCTATTCTGAAATTAGAATTATTATTATTTTTCGTTAAAAAAAGCATAAATTAAGGAAAATATGATCAAGTATAAGTAGTATTGAATGAAGGTTAGAGAAAAAACTGGCAACTAATTGTTACACTCGTATTAAATCAGATAATTGGAAATATCGAAGTTAATTATTTAGTCAGATGAACACATTAACATGCCTTCCTCATATGATAATTCTAATTAGATCAAACTGTTTAATTTGTACAAATTTGTGCAGTGTAATTAACTTGTGAACTGAGATGATGGTAGTAAATCCTACTTTCAGTTTCATCGATTTTAGCATAGATTGCTGAAAAAATAATTAATAGATTTCCATCTAGTTAAATGTAACGTAGAACCTGATACATGTATAGATAAGTTCAAGTTGCCATACCCTCTCCCATTAGCATAATGAGATGACATTGTTAGGGGAAAATTCAGAGGAATTTAGTAATTTCGGATAAACAAAAAGACAAAGAGTGAATGCACCTGTTGCTAAGGCAAACGATTTTGAGCCATATCATTCAAATTCGTTAAATATTGGTTACGATAATCATGTAAACTCTCAAGAAAACTATTACATAACAAGGTGTAAAAATGAGATTAAAAGATTTCGCATAAACAGATTTTGAATTTTGGCTATAAATGATTTTGTTATATCTCTGTTTCTTACGGTTAATGACCCAGCTATTCCTATTGCTTAGTATTCTCGGACACCGATTCACTCGACAAGTCCCCAAATCAGAACACGGTTGAACAGGGAAAAGATTATATTCCAAATAGCAAGTCAGAAGCATAATAGGGAAAAACGTCAGTATATTTATAGTTTTTTACATAAGAAGATTCCAGAATATTCTCCGACTATCGACTGGTGCTGATTGGATAAGAATCAGCCAATCAGCGTGCAGCAAAGCAATCATGCATTGAGCATGCTTTAATCTAGTCTATGTCCCGCTAACACCTCCCCTCTGAGCAGATTCGTAGGATCTGGTGCTAGGGTCCAACTGCAACCGAGTGACTGGCCTGTGCTTGCGATTAGTCCATCGTCTAGGCAATAAAGAAGTATCACTCTTTTCTTGCACAGAAACTGATGTGTCTATTCCCGGCGTTTTGATTTCAAAGGTGTCTAGCAGAACATCAAGAGGTAATCGATATTGAATCTTGTTGCTGGCTATCGAGGTTGCTTTCAATTGGTTAGCATGACGTACCCAAACTTCCGAGCCAACTGACACCTCGTAAACCACACTCCCCTTCTTTTTCAAGATCCGACCAGCTGTCCATATAGGATGTTTCCCACGATAGTCCATAGCAAGCACTTTTTGTCCCACAGTGAACAATCGTCTTTGTGCCCCCTGATGTCGGTTAAACTGTTTCTCCATCGATAGGTTTCGTTGGGGTTCAATAGCTGGCGTAGGACGGATGACATCGAAATGTGTACGTATCTTTCTGCCAAGTAGAGCTTCTGCTGGAGAGAGCCCGTTAATTGTCTGAGGGTTCGGTGTAGAACGATAAATAAACAGGAACCTCTCTAAGATATCTTCAGTGGTCCCTTCCCCTTTGGATTTTTTTAGAGCATTTTTAAATGTACTCACAAAGCGTTCCACTTGGCCATTTGATTGGGGATGGTATGGAGGTGTTCGGATGTGCTGGATTCCGTTCTGCCGACAAAATTGTGAGAAGATTTCGGACGTAAACTGTGTTCCGTTGTCACTAACTATCAATTCCGGGATTCCAAAACGACTGAATAGTTGACGTAGTTTACTGACTGTGCAGCTTGCAGTCGGGTGTTCCATGAGAAAAATTTCTGGCCACTTGCTATATGCATCAACCACCAAAAGGTAAGTTTGTCCATGAAGTGGACCAGCAAAGTCCAAATGTATACGCTGCCACGGTGACTGTGGTATTGGCCATGATTGCAGCTCTGCTTTTCGCGGTGCTTTTGTTGCTAATGCACATTTGGTACACGAACGGGATAGCTTCTCCAGTTGGGTGTCTAAATGCGGCCAGTATACATAACTTCGTGCTAGTGCTTTCATGCGATTTATTCCAGGATGTCCTGCATGCAATTGTTCAAGCACTGCTGGTTGTAGCTTCTTGGGAATTATGACACGTTCGGCAAACAGCAGACAGTCATCGATGATTGAAAGAGAGAGTCTTCGCTGGTAAAACTGTTGAAGGTCTGTGGAATAGATTTTCGAGGGCCACCCTTCTAGGTGGAACTTTCTAACTTCTTGTAGTGTTGGGTCTCGAAGCGTTTCTTCCCTGACTTCATCTGACGACACTGGAGTGTTTCGAATGGCATCTGCCACTATACTTCGTATTTCTGGGTCTACTGCTGTGGAGGCAATGATTATATCCTCTGGTCCAGGATGTTGAACTCCAATTAATCGGGAGAGAGCGTCAGCTTGACCGATAGTATTTGTTGACTGATACTTGATATTAAAATCATAACTCAGGAGCATTGTTGCCCAGCGCTGTAGTCTATTAGCCGTATAGACAGGGATTCCTTTCTTAGAACCAAAGATTGCAATCAAAGGTTTGTGATCTGTCAGTAGAGTAAATGTACGACCATAGAGCATTTTATGAAATCTTTTGACTGCGAAAATGATTGCAAGAGCTTCCTTTTCAATTTGGCTGTAGTTTCGCTCGGCTGGAGTAAGTGATCTAGCAGCATGGGCAATTGTCTTCTCTGATTTATCCGGAAACACGTGAGATATCACTGCTCCAACTCCATGACTAGAGGCATCAGATGCAACAACAATTTCCAAGCTGGGATCGAAGTGCGTCAAAAGAATCTTTGAGCTGAGCATTGATTTGACTCTGTCAAAAGATGCTTGACATTCTGCTGACCACTGCCAAGGTTTATCTTTCGATAGTAATTCATTTAGGGGACCTCTCACTCGGTGCATTTCAGGCAAGAATGTGCTGTAATGACTGATTAACCCCAAGAAGGATCTTAATGAAGAAACATCAGTTGGTGCAGGCATCTTCTGAATGGCTTCGATGTTGGCAGGGTCTGGTCGGCGACCGTTCTTATCTAAGATAAAACCAAGGTATTTGATCGAATGCATGAAGAAGATACATTTTTCCTCACGTAGTCGGAAACCATACTCCAACACTCGGTTAAGGACTTGGTGTAGTCGATCAGAAAGTTCACTGTCAGTTGAACCCATAACTATGATATCATCTAGATAAGCTGCTGTACCAGGTATACCTGTTAGCATCGTATCCATTATTTGCTGAAAGATGGCGGGTGCGGTCTTGATGCCAAATGGTAGACGGGTGTATTGAAATAACCCTCGATGAGTGTTAATGGTCAGAAGCTCTCTACTATCTTCATCTACTTCCACTTGGAGATAAGCATCGGAGAAGTCTATTTTCGCGAAACATGTCCCACCATTAAGCTTGGCAAACAGGTCTTCCGGAACTGGTAAGGGATATTGATATACATCTAACGCAGCATTTAAACCGGTCGAGAAATCGGCACATATGCGTATAGTCCCATTGGCCTTCTTAATCACTACAATCGGTGCGGCCCATGCAGAGTAGTTAACTGGTCGGATTACACCAGCCTGCTGCAAGCGATTAAGTTCCTGGTCGACTAGCTCAAGAGCAGCATATGGCACAGGACGTCTCGGGCGAAAAATAGGTATGGCATCTGGTTTCACTGGTAAGTGCGCTTTCATCTTGGTACAGTGGCCAAGGCTATTCTGAAAAACAGAGGCAAACTTTCTTTTCAGTTTTTCTAGTAACCGTTCATCTGTCTTCTTTGGAAGTAATGGGGTGTCCAATGATGAACACGATACGTTACAGACACTGTTAATTGGTATATCCATTATTCCAAGTTTGTCTAGCATATCTAGACCAAGAAGATCAAGGTTCGGCCGTTCTGTTAGGTAACATATTCCTGTACAGTTAGTTCCATTGAAGGAAAATTCACACTGTAATTCACCAACCAGTTTTAGCACACCACCTGATGCGTTTTTAGCCGTTTTCTTAGATGGCTTCATTGGCGGTTTACCCAGCAAGTTATACGTTTCTCTAGACACTAACGTGATATCTGATGCCGTGTCAATTTGAAGACGAGCTGATATGCCGTTTATCTGGATGGTAACATACTTTCTCCGAATGTCATAGTTTGTTTGAAAAGCAGCTACCAGAGAAAGAGATTTAGACTCGGCTGATTTCACATGTCGAGGACGTTTATGCTTCTTCTTAGGCTGAGACGTACGCTTCGGTGGACAATGACCTTCTTTATGTCCACGTTTGTTGCACTCCTGACATTTATGCTTCTTGAATGGACAGAATCGTGCATAATGCCAATCACCGCATAACCAGCATGCAGTCCTTGGTTTGTTACGAGTTGTTACCGGCTTCTGAACTTTTAACCTAGTAATAGTATTTACACTACCGCAGGTTAATTTAGGATTTACCTGTTCAATCAACTCGTTGTCGTGTCTGATGCTTTGTAGACGCTTACACTCATCTGTCAATGTTCTGAGTGTGACGTTTGGGTCTTGATCCAGTCGAGCTAAAAGTCTCGTCCTGATCTCAGCATCTTGTGGTGACTGAAGAGCTTTGATGAATATTAAGCATTTAAATTGGTCATCAGTCAACGAGCGTAACTTGAAACGTTCACATTCTCTGTTGACAATGTCTGCTAGAACACCATATTCATCAGCTTCGCGTTTCACCAAATTTAGACACCGATAACGAATACTAAACAACGAGGATGACTCGCCGAATATCTCTGACAACTGAAATACCGTCTCCTCGAAACTGAGCTCTCGAGGTAACTTTGGCAATATATGGTCAGCAAAACGTGCATGTTCATTGCCTCCCAACTTACGTACCAACAATCGGGTCTTCCACGCATCGTCTTGGTTACAGAATTCTGTTCTAAATGTATCTTCCCAACGTTTGAACCACGTGAGAAAAGTATTTCCACCTTCGGGATCATAGATGAATTCTGGGATGCTGCTAGCAACTGCATC